AGAGACGAGCAAACCGCGCCACGCTTCGCCTCCACTACAACACGTGTCCACTTAGTCTCCTGTTTTGGGGACGACACAGGTGTTGACAAAGCATCGGTTTTGTCCACATCCGACCACCCAGCCGTTCAAAGAGCAGAGCCGTTTAAATTAGGCGAATGCGAATCTGTGCGTGTCCGCGCACGCCGGGGCCCCTGCACAGTAAAAGGAGCGCGTCTCCTGTTGAGGGACGAGCACAAAGCGAGGCCGAACTTCCATCCCCGAGGGGACAATGAGGCCTGTCACAGGGACCCTCACCCGGCTCAACACCTCTGCCCGAGACAGGTGATCTCGTCTTCCTGCGGGGGACAAGGATACATCAGAGAGACCTTTCGGACGGACAACATCCCTCTTTCAGGTGGCTTTATCCGAGACTGAACAACAGGAAAGAGCTGCCGGAGCGTGACTCTCCCTGGACGAGGCTTTGTCGAGCGCCGTCGAGCTCGCTCGCTGTCTCTCTCCCGCTGTGGTTGGTGCAGCGCCTGTCGGAGCCACACACCACCAGGCATGTGGAAACCATTTGGCGTTCACCTGGTCCCTCGGCCGTGGGGGGGTAAAGTTGAGGGCGGAAGTGGCCCGTTTAAGATGCGGAGCTCTCGGGTTTATGAGCGAGAGCCGCTGTGCCTTGAGAGGAAGGTGGTGTCGAGGCGATTAGCCCGCGCGGGGATGCACATCTGCCCCGTGCCAGCTGTTTGACAGATTCATTCGGAGCGCATGGGCAGGTTTTCCTTTTGTTGTGGAAGACCTTTGAAGTGCGTCTCGCTTCCAGTAAAGCGCTGACTGTCCACATTCATGCTGCATTACGGGACATAACAGTGTTTCAAAGGTTTGAATAAAACAAAAAGACTGACTTTGGAGTTTATTCCAGAAGCCTCTGCTTTGAATAAAAGGGTGAGATATGACTTGCACGGTACATTAAAACGCGGTTTCACATTTTCATACTGAGATCATCGGAGCAGGAAATACTGCATGACCATTTAGGTGCATTGAAAAGTCACAGTATTTCAAATGTATAGGAGAAGGGAATGATGTGATATGTCACATGTTTTTATTGTCTTTAATGGTCATGTCTGTGTTTTTTCTTGGCTGCAGGTTGAAAGTTCAAGCTGACCACAGCTGCTGCTGTTGTTTGTGATTATTCAGCTCAACGAAGCCGCCGTTTGAGCACGAGGTGAGTATTTGATAGTCAAATGTTGATTAGGGGTGAAGTTTAACTTTAATATCAGGACTTAACGCAACGTGGAAGTGTTTCGTACTGTTCCAACAAACCCACACGGTGTTCCGTATTGTTGCAGGTGGCAGCGGCGCCACGCAGACGCGACGATCTCTCCAGCCGCCCAGCTGACAGACACCGGCCCACGCAATAAAAGTAATCCCACACTTTCCAGTGTTTGTTTTCACAGAAGACGTGTGTCGGCTCGGGCTGTTTATGTGAAGACCTTTTGGCCGACAGACCTGTGAGTCTGACTTCAGAGCGCCTTTCACGACGCCGGCGGCTCCTTCTCTGGCGAGTCCTTCGCCGTCTGGCGTTGTTTCCCCCACGGGAAAGACCTCCTGGCCAAATGCCGCGAGTCCGCGAGCGCAGAGCGTCTCCCTGTGCGACGAGACGGCTGCTTCTCTCAGTGCGAATATTGATCTGCGACAGAAGAAAATATCACACACATGTCGTGCACTTCTTTGGAAAACAACAGGAGCTGAGAGCTGTCCAGACACGTGTCATCAGACGGCTCCGGGGACGGAACGCGAAGCACTTCACACCTCGGCTGCAGCCCACGCGTCAATCAGAGCCGCTGCACGTCGGAGCGCAAACAAAGCCGTTCTTCGTGTAGACCCAAGCGACAATTCTGACATATTTAGGACTTTGGCATTAGGCATCTTCCTGCCTTTCTTTCCGTGAGATTGCGAGCGTTAAAACTAAACAGTGTAGGGGCATGCCGCTCCTCCACCAGATGCAAACTCCATACAAAAGGCATGGTAACTGCCGGGAGTGTGGTGGGGAGAGGGGTAAAGGTCAGCACAGAGGGCGAGATAAACAAAAGGGGACACACCGGTGCGAGAGTGGTTAGGTCGACTGCCAGGTCTGAGCCTTACGTCACCGATGGAGGGTTGAGAGGAGAGCAGGAGAAATGATGACGGCAAGATGTATTAGTAGATAGAAGCAGTGCCGACGATAAAATATCAGTCAAAGCTGTTTCCTAGAAAGGATGTTGGAAAGAGGTTTTGAAATAAAACCATATTTCCCCGTCGTTAAAGCTATGTGATGGATTTATTTTGGTCACATGGGAGAGGAACAACCAGCACACACATCAACATAATATTATCGTCTAAAGACTCACCTCCAGAATCACTGGTATTATTTAGCAAAATACCTTTCTGGCAACCTGACAAATGAACGCTTGGCGGTCACTTTTCATTTTGCCCTGTTTTTGCTTTCCAACTGCAGAGAGAAAATGCTCCACTGTGTCCATCCGCTAGTTTCTAACTCTAACTTTCCTAACAAATTAGGTGATATGAACATGGTAATTAGTACATATTCAAGGTGCTCGTAAGGTCAAAGATCAACCAAACCTCCTCCTCCCTGGGACTTAGTAGGATGATCTACATAAAAAAAAAGGTTACTCCACTTCTTGCTCTTCTCACTGTCACAATAAAACCAAATAAAAAAAAACTTTTATTCTAAGACAAATGGCTGCATCAACTTTGAGCAATACGACAGCCGACTTATTGATGAATTCAACCCACACGGACTGCAGCAGACGATCACCTCTGTGCCTCCAACGTGGTCACACGCTCTCACAAGCTACTGAGATGCCAGCAAATGGTCCAAGATGGACCGGTGGCAGGAAGCCGGCCACAGCTTCCTTCCTTTGAAGCGTCATTAATCCTCCAGCTTGTCTGTGTTTTTGGGGAGGGGGGGGTGTTCTCGTTTCTGTGAAACACATTTTCACCAGTCAGCGATTTTCCAAGGCCTGTTTTCCGATTCAAACAATCAGAAACCTCATAAATAACCCAAAATAACTACGACAAAGGGCCCCAAGGCCCCTGGTTCCTGCTAAAGATAAATCTTGAAAAGCAGCTTGGAGATTTACTGGCCGTTCTTTTTTAAAATGGTGAGTGAGCCCGAAAAAACAACAAAGCATGGCAGTTTCAGCATGAGTTTGTGTTTCTGAAGGTATCAGTCGCTCAGTTCAACGGTGAGGCTCACGTTGATGTTTTAAAATGGCTTTCAGAGCTCTGAGGCAGAGACAAATATCAGGTTTTGGCCAAGCAGACAATAGACCAAAATCCACAGGAAAAAACAATATCTGTTTAAAAGATTTCTCCTCCCACTTAAATATAGTGGAAGCGAACGAAGTTTTGGTCCTTGCACAATTACAATTACTTTTTCAGGAAGAGTGTCCTGTATACTCTGGATAATCCAACCTTGGATCCCTATAAGAATTACAGTCAAAGTTAATTTTTAATTTTTTAATTTGAGATATTTACAATACACTGTAAAAGGGTTTGGGACAGCTTTTAAACTATTACCCTAAGAAAGTGACCACGCTCATTTGTTAAGTACAGATGACTCTCATTATCTAAAACACTGGTTATTACAGACATGGAATCAGACACGGGCGAATTCCATCAGTCAGATCTGGCGCGGTTGCAGCATTACAGATCCTTCCGGACGCTGGTTGTCTCGCGCGCCCTCTGTGTGCGTGATCTTTCGCGGCTTTCATGAGATTATCACCTCCCGTTAACAGGGTCTTAAACAGCTGACCGGCACCAGGGATCGTGCTAGGAATTAGCCACCTGCTACGTCGGGCCCATCCGCAAGCCCAAAAACTCTCGACACAGGAAGTGCCCTTGCGGGGGGGCAAAAAATATGGCGTCAAACAAGGTTGAAAGTCGCTCGCCTACCTCCCCCACCCCCCGCCTCTCCCGACCTCTACGAGCTGGTGTGCTGTGTTTTTTTGACAGGTCAAGGGACGAGGGTGAGCAGAGGAAACACACAAGGAGAGAGGAAGAGCAGCACATGCATGCTGCAAAGTTAGATGTCGATCACGTGTTGAGGACAACAGCATGTGGATACCCGGTCACTTGTTGTCCAAAGCTGCTTGACAAATAATTAGCAGAGGGCCAGAAAGGAAAGAGTTACGCTGTCATAAGTCACGTTGTATTCCCACCTCCCTGGTTCACACTCATGAACATTTAATCTGCATCACATGACTATTAACAACACAAAGGGGGATGGAGCCGCTCAGATCATTTGGTAATTGTGAGGCTGTTCAGAGCAAAGCAATCAATCAATCAATGAAGTGAATGCTATTTTAGCATTGGCCCTTTAGCATGCCTGCATTAGCATTTAGCCTAGTTTAACCTCACACAGCTGCTAGAATATGGTTGTACACTCTTAGTCAACACGTTTCTGGTGGTTTCCTACACTTTATGGAGACTTTATAATTAGCGTTATTAGTTAATAGTTTAGTAGTTATTAAACGTGTTTTAAAATGTGTATTTATTTGTAATGTATTATATATATATATATATATATATATATATATATATATATATATATATATTCGTAAGTGTTCTTTCCAGAAATGAATTGGTCAAGACACCAGCATTGATGGTTCAAGCCGCCCTTCAGAGCCCCTCCACAAAAAAGGATTTACAAGCTTTAAGTGGGACAATAAAAAAAAGTTCGGGTATTTCAATCACACAGATAAATCATGTGCAACTAGATTGTATTGATCCTCCACCTATAATACCTCTGGCACTATGATCATGTTTATGAAGCCCAAATGACTCGTTGTGATGGCGCAGCATTTGACACCGGAGTGTCCAGTCCGCCCCCCCACTCGACCCCCTACACGCTGCACAGGAGTCAGTTTACACACGACAGCCTCATACCTGCCCCCCCACCCCCACCCCTACCTCCCTCCTTCCCTCCCTCCCCCCCGCGCGCCGAAGGGACTCCCACTTTCTCGCGCGCGCCGCGCCGCGTCACAGTGCCAGCGGTCCCCGCAGAGCGCAACAGACGCGCCGCCGAAGCTCCGGCCGCCACAGGAGAGGATCCCCGCCCGTCACCCGGGCTCCGAAAGACCGGATAAACCGAGCCAGCGAGGTGAGCGACAAGGCGGGATCTCCACTCGAACCGTGCCGTTAGAAGTGGACGTGCGGGTCCAGGTGCGCGTTTTGGGGAAGTTCTCCTGGTACCGACCCGGGCGGGACTTGATGCCGTGCGATTCTGTTCTCCTGATGTTGGCGACGCTCTTTTTGGTTGTGACGGCTTGAGCCGCGCGTTGAACGAACCAGATGTGAAGCGAACAGCTGAACCGAGGGACTGTTTGGAGAGACGAATTAACACCAGCTACGTTTTAAACTGGATACACGTGTCTGCCCTTTTAAAAACGACTACAGGAGAACTTATAGTGTGTCATGCTTGAGATCTCAATGGTGTGTTTTGGGGGGCTGATCCCCTTTAAGGGAAACCCTACTTTCGCAGTAAGCCTGTGATGGATGTCGCTGAATTTGAATTTGAAATTGAAAGAACATTTTGTTGATAAGTTGATGAATCGTGATCTGCCCCTCAAGCCCATTTGTGCAATAGCAGCCTTGAAGTCTAGCAGCCATCAGTAGTGGTATGGGGAGACTGATTAAAGCAGATAACCCGGGGCAGCAGGTTTATCCCATTTTAACTCCACACAAAATATTTACATCTGGATGAAATCAGGGCGCCGACTGGCCGGGAAGGAGGGCTTCGGTAAAATCGCTGAAATCAAAATGAAGCCCTTTCCCGCCGACGGGTTGATTTGTGACACACGCATGTGTTGATGAAGCCCCGAAGACGGTGTCACCTGACGGTCCGACAAAGGAACAAAAGAGAGATCGGGGACCTGAGGGGTCGAAGCCCGAAAGACTGTGAAGGCTTTCTCCTCCTATAGGAGACAATCGCGTGCCCTCGGGGTCAACTCCACCTTGACCCGCCTCTACCCCAACCCCCCCACTAACCCTCTGCTGATGTGTTTCATGCGGTGGTTGGATGGGTGTGTGTGTGTGGGGGGGGGGGATCAGGAGCGTAAACAACGTGGAGTCAGACTAAACAGACCACACAGGTCCTGTAAACACATTTCGCCCCAAAGCTCGCAGGTGAGCGCGCAGGTTTTCATTTGCGCTTCTCGATGCGGATCATGAAGCTTTGCTGTTACTTTCCATAGCGGAGGGTGGAGGGGGGGGCACAATTCTACTACAACAAACCCAAACAAGCACGAAGCGCGTAGTTCCCCCTCCAGGCACGGGTTGTGCGTGACGTAGAGAGTGTGGATTCAGGCCCATTATCTCCCTACCTTTCCATGATTCAACTTTTGTTTTTCCTTCCAACTCGCATCCCTGCAGCCGGAGTGAGTCACGGATCGTAGACACCTTCATCCAACACGTTCCAGGAAACAAACGTCCCTCCGTCTGGATTCCTATACCTGCAAAATTACACCGCGCAGCCATCGTAAAAAAAAAAAAAAAAGGGCCCCTACTGGTTTCTCCTGCGACTCGCGCTAATTTCCCAGCTTGTAATAAGGCCGCGTCTGTGTTTGATGAGCGGGCCTGGGTACTTCCTGCCGCTGCCCGAGCGGAGGGCTCCGACATCCTTCAGCTCACTAAGTGGAACGCAACGTTGGGCCCCCGGGGCCCCTCATGGCAGCGGCGAGAGACGGTGTGACGCAACACCTCCGAATATTCCAACGCTCACGACACTCACGTAACAAAAGGCCAGAGGCCAACGACGATCTATTGCCGGTCGGTCTTCGGAGACGTGATTCGGAGACAAGGACTCCACTTGATCTTTCATTTTTATCCTTTTTTTCGCAGCTCTTTGAGGGTTTAATCTGATCTGACGTGAGACACTTAATGTTTGTTTTTTTAGTTCACAATGTGCCACTCATTTTCTTTAATCATTCACAGTTCAGCTGCACCACGTTCAAGGCGTATATATATATATATATATATATTTCAAGAGGGACGTCAAACATTATGTTGCAATTAATCCCCGTTGTGTTGCATGTTACATGAAAAGACCCCCAAGTTATGGCAGGATGCACAAGTTTCTAATTAGAGAAGAAAAGGTACGCTGCTTAATGACATCATTTTCCCTCAGGCACTGCTCAGGGTGTGTGTGTGTGTGTGTGTGTGTGTGTGTGTGTGTGTGTGCGTGTGTGTTGCTCAACAGCAGCTGGTTTTAGAAATTTGAGGTTCCCAACAGTGTGAGACTTCAAACACATACAGGCACACGAGCTGCCAGACTTATAATTTGGCTTTATTGCTCTTTGTATGGGCCATTGTGGAGTCTGTCTGCGGGAACTTCTGTCCCTTTTCTGGAGCAACTGTTGCGGGTACGTGATGATAAAGTGATGCTCGCTCTGAAAAAGGACGCCTGGAGAAGTGAGGCCGCTGCTCTTTGTACCGAACTAGTATTTCTCCTGTTTGGTAAACAACTGCGAGTGTGGAATCATGTCCAGTGAGGTGATCATTTGATGAGCAGGAGGCATATTATTCTAAAAGGACGTAGCTTTTCAGAGCGAACCCTCTGCTGGTGGGATCATCTCCGGCGATATGTAGGTCCGCGGCTCTGGCAAAATGTCTTGGGAACGCGTTTATCACACTGCAGGAATTAAAGTTCGGCACAAGATTTTGGGGGCTGATCTACCGTTTGTGGGATCTCAGGCGGTTCTAGAACTCAGGGTTTACATCATTGGGGTCTCCAGGGGGCTCAGGCCTCGACCTATAATTGAGAGTGGGTACCAAAATCTTGAGTCCCATGGAGACAGTTTTCCGTTAGACGGGCGTCCCCTGTGTTTTTGGGGGGGGGGTTTTAGTGGGGGGGGGGGTGACAGCTGTGCGAGCAGCCCTTCTCCCCGCTGCTCTCACATCCCCGTAATTGTTCACAGTGGGACGGGGGCGTTTCTGCAGTTCCGCCACATCCCATCACTTTCAAGCGCGCCGCGGCGTACGTCCGCTCGGCCGTGAGGAAGACGCCCAGGGTCTGCCCCGTCCCTCCGACGCGCATGAAGGAGGGGGGGGGGGGGTGCCCCGAGAAAACCCTTCCGGCTTCCCCAGATGTTTTCTGATTGTGACAGGAGGAGAGGGATGGAGAGGGATGGAGAGGGATGGAGAGGATGGGAGGAGGGGTCTCTTCCTGTGGCATTCTGGGAGGGGGGTGGGGGGGGAAAGGTTGCTTGATCGGTAATGAGAGAGGACAGCTGGCAGGTTCAGGCGAGGTTACCAGCTAAGCGTAGATGGCAGCCAGGAATAAAACGAGGGCCGAGGATCTCTGCACGGTAGATTTTCGGCGTTTCTTCCCTCGGAGTCGAAAAAAAGGTGGTTTTGCACGTTTTAACGCCCTGAAACCCGTTTCTCAATCAGCTTTTGGAGACCGATGGGGCCATGAAGATAAACCATGTTGGCCAATGTCTTTGTGGTTTTGGACGGTGTGTCCACCCATTAAACAATGACAATCGTTACTGGATCATTACTGAATGAACCAGACCAAACTGTGTCGGCTGTGCAGGAAGCAAATCGATGATGGCACAGTTTATAAGTGGTGGAGAGTGGTGGTGGTGGTGGTGGTGTGTGTGGGGGTGTGTGTGGGGGTGGGGTTTGGTAGTGTGTGGGGGGGGGGCTTTGACGCCACTGTGAGATAAGCCAGTATTTGGGGACACGGCACAGCTGGAGCAGCGTTGAGCTCTCACCAGCCCCCGAACCAGCCCAAGGTGTGTCAGCGTGAAAAGGGGGCGGGGCCACACAGACGTTACGCTCCTTTTCCTTCTATTTGGTCGCTGTGTGAGTCCCTCATTGAGCTGTGCTTTCCCCCCCCCAGCTTTTAGTTCAACATCCTCAATCATAAATACACGTAGATCCAACTGCAGCCACGCAGGTGTATGATTTAAGACCACTTGCAATGTTTTGACATTTCAGTTCCTCTTTGCGGGTCGTAACGGATCCCGTCCAGCGAAGCGTCTTTTGGCACTTTGCCGCGGTCGACGTGTACACGCCGGGCAGGGTGAGAAATGTGCCGACTCGGTGAAATAAAACATCTGGCTGCTGGCCAGACCGTGCCTGTCTTTCTGAGCATTCTCCCCAGCTGAGAGCTTAATGAGGGTGCACAGTGTGGGAGCAGGCCTCCATAATTTAAGACTCTGGGAGATTGAAGGATGTGCCCAGACTTCTGGCCCTGCACGGCGCTGTGTAAACAGCCCTCGGACAGGCTTTTTAGGGGAGATCTGTGTTACCCTGAGTTGCAAAGTGCATTCCCAGTCCGGGGCTGTGCAGCACACACACACACACACACACACACACACACACAGTAGGGACACTGCTGGTCACATAACCCGGGCTGGCATGTGAAGCGGTGCTCATAAACAAGGCTGTCCACAGCTGGGACGTCCACTAGTCTGGATCCGGACACTTATTCAAACCCGCTCTTACTGTCTTCTCTCACACAAACATCCAGCTGACAAACTGCACACTGTGGACGCCCTCGGCCAAAGATTTAAACCAATCAGTTCAACGGCTTTGACGAAAAACTATCATCTTCCATAACGGTTCTTTTGTCCGTACAGTTGATATATGAGGATCCGGGGATTACATCATCTCCTCGAAAGTTCAACCGACAATAGTTTACTCATCGGCAGTGAGGTATTGCAGCCGGGATTAACATTCCTGGACCAGGAGGCCGGTTCAGGTGTCTTTGTGTTGATTATTAGGTTCCCTGGCACGATGCGCCCGGTGTTCATCTGATCATCTGAGAGGCGAGATTTTCTAAAGCTTGATTCAAGGTACATTTTCAAGTCTAATGTTGATCAAAGGTCAACGCACGAGTTATATCCCGCAAAAAGTAAACACTTAGTGACTCGTGACACTTTATAGGTCAGAGCTGTTTAATTATCAACAGCAGCAGCAATCTTAGCTGAGAGTAAAAAGGAACTTACACAGTGTGTTGATAAAAGTAAGAGTACGTGTGAAGAGGTTATCTCAGCAGATGTTATCTGTGTTAGCACCACGTGGGTGGATCACATCTGGTAGAGGCCACATACATACAGTAAAACGGGTGTTTGGGTCCTCACACATTAATCT